TTAATAGTTTCGTTGAAAAACAATTTTAATTGTAACAAATGTAATTGTTTACTTTTTCAAAAAGTTGAATTTTTGGGTCATCTTCGCGGTTGATAAATTTTATTTGATTTGCTATGTTTATAGGAAAAAAAATTAATAAATAACAATTTCGATATTTTGAAGATTGCAGATGCTTCAACATAAAAAATGCATTAAAAAGCAATTATCAAAAAAAGTTTTTTTTCTATATAAATACTTTTAATTAATTTATAATATTTCATAATAAATGTATTTATTTGTATTGGATTTAGTTTTTGTTGTAATAGTACAACAAGTGTATAAAGTGCAGTAGACGTGCACAAAAAAAATATATACTTAAAAATCAGTCTAATCAATTTCCCTATATGTAAAATCGTTTATTTTGTCTAGTTCGTCTAGTTTGAGATATATAATGGTATTTGGGGGTTTTCGTGTTAGGCTAAAGCCCCTGAGATGTATAAGTTCCTTTAATTAAAATTTCTTGCAGAAATTGTTTACCGTTGCTCATGAGAGTGACACCAGAATACATTGGATCTGTAGCTTACCCAGATCCGGGCTTAAGCTTTTGGGCGTCAAACTCTTTGGTTACTAGCGATACTTTCAACATTCGCATTGGCCAGAATGTTGAAAATATCACTTTACTTATATAAATCAAGGTATTCAGCTTGATATATACAGGTAAATTTATACCTACAGTCACGATATAGATGGAATCAAAACGGTGTGCTTATCGAATTGGGGAAAATTCGATACTCTACCACTTCACCTACCACCTTCTTACTTAAAAAATATAGGTCCCTTTGTTTATACATAAAATAGGTTGTAGTGACTGTTAAAGACACCAAATCTCACGTTTTTTTATGAATTATAATAATTATAATTCTTTATAAATTATTTATCAAATCCTTCGTTTAGAAACTAACTAATAATAATAACTAATAAGTGCGAACGAACTTTATTTTTTCCCTAGGCCATTGCTTTGGATTGAATTAAATAAGTCAAAATTAATTAAATCACATTCAATTAAATCAAATTAAATTAAACAAAGTTATAATATTTTAGATCACAGAAAAATTAAGTGGCCTTTTTTGAGTAGGAGCTTCTAAGCTGATTGGTTAAGAAGGTCCTCTAAACTTAATAGGTACTGACGGCTACTTCGGTCAGCTTTTTCTATTACTGTTGATACGAGCAAGTCTCTATGAAGGTTAACATTTTTTATAAACCACAAAATCTCACTTCAGTACAAATAATAAACTGTTGTGGTTTTTATATACTTTTATGTAGGTTAGGTTAGGTTATACCAGCGATCCCAGGTGGATTCACTTAGACCTATTACCCCTTTGTGTTGTATATATAGAGAAATCAGGGATTAAAATCACCGATTTAGCGTCAGATCTTGTAATTGATCAAGATCCTTAAGAAAGGGGGCTTCTAAAATGTTGAGTATCCGCCGTACATGAAATATACAAAATCATAGTAAATGGGAGACACTGTCATCGTCTTCCCCACAGCTGTGACAGGTTTTATTAAACTCGTATATATATGTCTTATAAATAAATGTGTGTTTTATTTTTTGCATAAAAAATATTTTTTACTGTTTATGACAAAGATTTATAAAATGTTTTATAAACTGAATACATCTATGTGCAATAATACTATATTTAACTTAATAGATTTTTAAAGAAAAGTACATTTTTCTGAACCAAACATTGGGATAAGTATTTCCTTTTTGAAGAAAAAAATACAAATATTTATTTAAAAAAATCATCATAAACATATTTTAATATGAAAAAGATTTTTTTAAATTTTCTAAACATTTTAGACCGGTGGGGTATGAGTGATTTTTTTTCAAATAAATATCGAAAATAAATAAAATCTTACACCAGAAAAAAAAATATATATAAAAAAATATAAATAAAAACAAATATAAACAAAATTAAAAAAAAAAAATTAAATTAAAAACATTAAATAAAAGTATACAAATAAATATTAAAAAATATGTTAATAAAAATAAATAAATATTAATATATATAAAAAATATTTAAATAAAAAAAAATCAAATAAAAAAAATTGCAACTTTAACAAATATATAAAAAACAAAACTTCAAAAATATATTAATATAGCAGAAAATTGAAAAATTTATATAAAATGTATATGAAGCATATATACATCAAGTAAGATTAATAGCAAAGCAAAAAAGATTATGATCAATACACAATTTCTTTCACTTGCCATAGCAAATATTAATATCTGCCTAATAAATGTTTAAAATATCTATAAATTTAATATTCTAAATATGCACTAGTTTAATGACTAGTAAATTAGTATTTATACATATGTATGTATGAAAATGTGAGTTCAGTATAGTCCTTCTTTTAAAATCAGATAACTCGAACTTGTTTCATGTAATTACTAAAACAAATACAGTATTCTGTTTTCATTGAACACTCAGTATTTCGCATATTGCAGTAATCCGGATGCTGCACTAATCTTCATTGTAATAATCTTTGTAATCCAGTCAAAACGAGGCAATTGGTGATTATTACTATGAGTCAAATAGCAAACTAGAGGAATGCGCAATCATATGATCTATAAGACTTGGTTTGCACTCGCATAACTTAAAGCTATTCGAACACTCAAAAATGTATCTGTACTTGTTAATAAATTATTTGGATTTCACCAAGAAATAAAGAATAAAAATTAAATCTTTCCGTTTTGCGATGAGAAAAGTTTATATATTTATTTAGTGATCACATGCAACGTTTGAATTTATCATCACTGTTATTATATTTAAATCAAAATTTAAAAACGCTATAAGTAAAACCACATCTTCAAGTATTTAAATCAAAAATAAATATATATTTAGGTTGATTTTTTTTATCGAATGTACTGCGTCTTATGACGAAAAGAATACTGGAAGGGTTCGGACAGTACATGAACAAAACAATAGTTGACCACATAACGCTGTTTCGAGTATTGTCAAGTACTCATCATCATTTTAGAAAATAGTCCAATTTTTATATAATTAGTTAATTAGTTTAAGATTGTTGCACTCCAACAAATTATATACGGATTATAAACTTATCAAATAAATATTCGAACATTTTCTAGGATCACTGATGATGAGTACTTGACAATACTCAAAACAGTGTTGTATAATCAACCAAATTTCAATAAAATCAAATTTTAATCAAATTTTTGTTGCTGTTTCTTCATTACTGTTAGAACCGTTCTAAATAAATGTTTTATTTAAAGGCTATGATATATATGACTATTTGGAGTATTAAAATTGATTAAAAATCATATTATGTAGACTCTGATATGATGAAAGATTACAATAGTTTTAAGCTTCTCTGGTAATAATCATAAAATCAGTTAAACAGTCCAATCAAAATTGTCAATTATTATCTAAATTGCTTAAATAAATTACCTAAATTAGAAAGGTAAAACCTTTTGTATAGATATGTGAGCATATCGATAAAAAAAATTCATATTTGTTTCTAAATGGCAGAAATTCTAATTTTTACCACTTTATAGGAATGTTTTGACCAATGTGTTGTGGGAGAGAAAGTTTCGTCACCGTGACTAAAATTTAATCAAAGTTTCTCTGATTCTTAAATTTGTAATTTACATTGCATAACATGGCCCTAAATAAAAAAAAAACAACATAATGAGCCAATAGTGCTAAGTATAATACTAGGATCACTGTCATTAATTAAAAAAGACTTTTTAGTATCGTTAATTGATTCTTCAATTAATGTTTGCTTCACTTCACAAATGTATCTGAGTGAAGGGTTTTACATCGTTATGGATATAAATTTAATTTAGTTTAATTTAAATGTTAACAATACAACATTCACAATCTATGATTCAATTACTTTCGTATATAACGTTAGGAATGTGTTCGTTATACTAAAAGATTATAAGTAAATATTTTTTTTAAGTCAAAAATAAATTATTGATGAATAAATTCGAGAGTATAGGAAACAACCTTAAAATGTAGAAAAGCCTTGGCTTCAAAAAAGGATTGCATTACTTAATAATAATAATAATTATGTTTTGCTATAAATATTTATATGATTTTGCAATTTATTTTATGAGTCTTAAATTATTTGAAGTTATGAAGATTATTATAGAAGTTAACAAATATGCTTTCTAAATGTTAGCTACGCTGTAGTCTACTAGTACTTAGCAAAATTAGCAAACTAATACTATATAAAAAATATATATATTTTATTTTAATATATTTTATTTTAATATATTATTTTAATATATTTATTAAATATTATTGAAGTTATAATCTGTTTACATTCCTTGTAAAAGTGATGCGAAAATTTATTCTTTATAAAAAAAAAATTTAATTGCATTGAACTAACTAACAAGAAATGCATTGTAGTTTAAGATATAAGATCTTTAGAATATAATATAAGTAAATTTAAATTAAATTTTATAATTGTGGAAGGTTAACAGAAGATACAAAAAACTAACTTAAAAATTATATGCATTTATTTTTAAATATTTAAAAATACATATAATATTTTCATATTTATATACATTTCTTTTGTTTATATAATATTTAATATATACCCGTTTATAATTATACTTTTAAGAAACTATGAAATAGTTTGTTTTTTCTATTTATATAAACCGTAAGTAATTATTTCTTTATTGTTTGCCACACTCATCTTCACCTAAGACTTTATTACTATTATAATATCTTTTCAAATGAAATCTTTCCGTACTGTTGCAACCAATTTACTTTAATTGCAATATTCCATATTTTCTTGTGCATTACAAGATACTTAAGATACTTAATATATGCACTAACATTCCATATAATATATAGTTAAATACATTAACATAAATTCCTTAATGTACTTTTCCGTGTGTGTTTATAAATTTAATTGAAAATTTTAGTGATTTCATTATTTGTGTTTATTAGGCAAGCATAAATTTCATATGAAAATTATGAAAAATATAATTAAATTACCTCAGACATATTTTCAAAACGTGCCAATATCTCTTTAACAGATATTTTACACTCGGTTGGTTCTTCCAGTATCGTTTCCATACGTCCCACAGAACCGCTACTGGCTATGCTAGTGCGACGTACCTTTCCAGTGTTAAGTGAACCATTAATATAGTTACCAACATTACTTAAACTGTTATTACAGTTGTTGTTGTTGTTGTTGTTGTTGTTAGTATTGTTGTTATTATTAAAGCAACTTCCATAGATATTATAGCCGTTATTGTTGTAATTATTATTGTTGATGATACTGTTACTATTACAATTATTGTTGTTGTGATTATTATTCATTAAATTCTTCATATCATAAAAATTATTTTCATCATTTTGATTTGTATTTTGGATAATATTGCACTTTTCTTGTTCGATATGCTCAAAATCGTTTTGCATATCATTACTTCTTGAAATATTCTGTTTTTGTAAATGTTCATTATTAATATTATTATGATTATTACTACTACTCACATTATTAGAATTATTAATATTATTAGCTTTTTCTCTTTCTCTTTGGCTATTAGCAATTTTATAAACAGTTGATTGATTTTTCTGATTAAATTGTTTAATTGGTACCTCCTGCACATTATTTTGTTCATTAGTCTCTTGTTGAGTAGTACCCATACAACATGGTTCAATACAACACTTATGATCATCCTCTTCTGTGCTCCATACATTTTCAAAATCCATATCATGACTTAGCGAAGAGCATTGCTCATTAAATTCACGTATCGTTTCATCAGTCAATTGATCCAAATCACTACGACGATGCACTTGCACCGCTGTTGTACCAGTTATGTGCGCAATTTCGGCATCATCAGAATCTGTATAAATAATATCATTTCCCTCAAAACTATCAATATCAGTCAAGTTGTTTAGTGAGTCTAATGAAGCAGCCTGTTTTATGTGTGGAGTGTCATAACGTTTACATTCGCTGCAAATGACACTTTCCATTTCCATATTTGTCTCAACATCAGCGCCACTGCCAACAGTTGTGATTCTGCAACGATGTCTCTCATTTGATTTAGTTGTGGTGCAACATTTACTGGAGCCGTGCATATCATCTATGTGGTTGGGTGTGCGTTTAGTGCCATGCTGTTTGTCATTATGCATTTTACTAATCAGCGATTCCACTTTATTGACAATACTTGTAAATTTGAGTGGTGTTGTATGTCCACTTCGAGTGCTACTTATGCCACTGCTACTATCACTCTTTGAGTTGCTCACAGCAGAACAACGCGATTTTGAGGATGTAGAAGTAGTACCAGAAGATTGTACTGACGATTTACCTGAACGTACACTTTCTGACATTTTAGACTCTTTCCTTAGTTCTTTATTTTTATATCAAAGCACTATGAACAAATCAATCAAAGTCATTGTAATTCAATGCAAACAAATATTTTCATTTTAAACAATGCAATGAATTAATAATATATTATTTATTTACTTATACATTTGTTTTGAGACATCTATAGTTAGTTATATGTATATATATACACAATGTATATATCATATTTAGCCAACAACAGTGACAAGTGAAAGTTATTGCATTAATTAACACCGATCAAACACATTTAACAGTTCACACACAGCGCAGCCAACGACAATGCCAACTGCCAACTGCCAACAATGTTTTTATGTTGCTCACTTACTTATTTCTAAGATATTTTTCTTTATTGCAATTACTAGACGGCAATAAAATGACTTAAGTTGTATTTACACTGTATTAATAAGTCGGTCAAGTCCAATAACACTTGAGATTTATAGCAGTTTCATTTATCACAAATATTTCGCTTCAGATTGCACATACACTTTTCAGCTTCAAATACTTAACATTTCATATTGAATTCTAACCAATGCAGTACATTTCTAATTAGCAAGGATCTGATACTTCACAAGTTTCTAGCAACATATCACAACCGGATTCGGTTCTTGCTATTATGAGCAAAATTTCACTAATATCGTTTAACAGTTAATACACAAAGTTAACTGTAGTAACAACATTTACATTTTTATTTAAATGTTAGCTACGCTGTAGTCTACTAGTACTTAGCAAAATTAGCAAACTAATACTATATAAAAAATATATATATTTTATTTTAATATATTTTATTTTAATATATTATTTTAATATATTTATTAAATATTATTGAAGTTATAATCTGTTTACATTCCTTGTAAAAGTGATGCGAAAATTTATTCTTTATAAAAAAAAAATTTAATTGCATTGAACTAACTAACAAGAAATGCATTGTAGTTTAAGATATAAGATCTTTAGAATATAATATAAGTAAATTTAAATTAAATTTTATAATTGTGGAAGGTTAACAGAAGATACAAAAAACTAACTTAAAAATTATATGCATTTATTTTTAAATATTTAAAAATACATATAATATTTTCATATTTATATACATTTCTTTTGTTTATATAATATTTAATATATACCCGTTTATAATTATACTTTTAAGAAACTATGAAATAGTTTGTTTTTTCTATTTATATAAACCGTAAGTAATTATTTCTTTATTGTTTGCCACACTCATCTTCACCTAAGACTTTATTACTATTATAATATCTTTTCAAATGAAATCTTTCCGTACTGTTGCAACCAATTTACTTTAATTGCAATATTCCATATTTTCTTGTGCATTACAAGATACTTAAGATACTTAATATATGCACTAACATTCCATATAATATATAGTTAAATACATTAACATAAATTCCTTAATGTACTTTTCCGTGTGTGTTTATAAATTTAATTGAAAATTTTAGTGATTTCATTATTTGTGTTTATTAGGCAAGCATAAATTTCATATGAAAATTATGAAAAAAATAATTAAATTACCTCAGACATATTTTCAAAACGTGCCAATATCTCTTTAACAGATATTTTACACTCGGTTGGTTCTTCCAGTATCGTTTCCATACGTCCCACAGAACCGCTACTGGCTATGCTAGTGCGACGTACCTTTCCAGTGTTAAGTGAACCATTAATATAGTTACCAACATTACTTAAACTGTTATTACAGTTGTTGTTGTTGTTGTTGTTGTTGTTAGTATTGTTGTTATTATTAAAGCAACTTCCATAGATATTATAGCCGTTATTGTTGTAATTATTATTGTTGATGATACTGTTACTATTACAATTATTGTTGTTGTGATTATTATTCATTAAATTCTTCATATCATAAAAATTATTTTCATCATTTTGATTTGTATTTTGGATAATATTGCACTTTTCTTGTTCGATATGCTCAAAATCGTTTTGCATATCATTACTTCTTGAAATATTCTGTTTTTGTAAATGTTCATTATTAATATTATTATGATTATTACTACTACTCACATTATTAGAATTATTAATATTATTAGCTTTTTCTCTTTCTCTTTGGCTATTAGCAATTTTATAAACAGTTGATTGATTTTTCTGATTAAATTGTTTAATTGGTACCTCCTGCACATTATTTTGTTCATTAGTCTCTTGTTGAGTAGTACCCATACAACATGGTTCAATACAACACTTATGATCATCCTCTTCTGTGCTCCATACATTTTCAAAATCCATATCATGACTTAGCGAAGAGCATTGCTCATTAAATTCACGTATCGTTTCATCAGTCAATTGATCCAAATCACTACGACGATGCACTTGCACCGCTGTTGTACCAGTTATGTGCGCAATTTCGGCATCATCAGAATCTGTATAAATAATATCATTTCCCTCAAAACTATCAATATCAGTCAAGTTGTTTAGTGAGTCTAATGAAGCAGCCTGTTTTATGTGTGGAGTGTCATAACGTTTACATTCGCTGCAAATGACACTTTCCATTTCCATATTTGTCTCAACATCAGCGCCACTGCCAACAGTTGTGATTCTGCAACGATGTCTCTCATTTGATTTAGTTGTGGTGCAACATTTACTGGAGCCGTGCATATCATCTATGTGGTTGGGTGTGCGTTTAGTGCCATGCTGTTTGTCATTATGCATTTTACTAATCAGCGATTCCACTTTATTGACAATACTTGTAAATTTGAGTGGTGTTGTATGTCCACTTCGAGTGCTACTTATGCCACTGCTACTATCACTCTTTGAATTGCTCACAGCAGAACAACGCGATTTTGAGGATGTAGAAGTAGTACCAGAAGATTGTACTGACGATTTACCTGAACGTACACTTTCTGACATTTTAGACTCTTTCCTTAGTTCTTTATTTTTATATCAAAGCACTATGAACAAATCAATCAAAGTCATTGTAATTCAATGCAAACAAATATTTTCATTTTAAACAATGCAATGAATTAATAATATATTATTTATTTACTTATACATTTGTTTTGAGACATCTATAGTTAGTTATATGTATATATATACACAATGTATATATCATATTTAGCCAACAACAGTGACAAGTGAAAGTTATTGCATTAATTAACACCGATCAAACACATTTAACAGTTCACACACAGCGCAACCAACGACAATGCCAACTGCCAACTGCCAACAATGTTTTTATGTTGCTCACTTACTTATTTCTAAGATATTTTTCTTTATTGCAATTACTAGACGGCAATAAAATGACTTAAGTTGTATTTACACTGTATTAATAAGTCGGTCAAGTCCAATAACACTTGAGATTTATAGCAGTTTCATTTATCACAAATATTTCGCTTCAGATTGCACATACACTTTTCAGCTTCAAATACTTAACATTTCATATTGAATTCTAACCAATGCAGTACATTTCTAATTAGCAAGGATCTGATACTTCACAAGTTTCTAGCAACATATCACAACCGGATTCGGTTCTTGCTATTATGAGCAAAATTTCACTAATATCGTTTAACAGTTAATACACAAAGTTAACTGTAGTAACAACATTTACATTTTTATAAAGCAAACTCAACTGCTGATATCAGTTATATACGTTAGCGCAAATAATTTATGAATTTTGTTGCAAAAACCGAAATCGTATGAAGAAATAGTGAAATGCCTGCACAACAGCAACTCAAATTTTCATTTCAAAATTTCATTTCCAATTTCAACAAAAACATAAGATATTTTTTATTCGTTAGTTTTTTATCTAAACATCATCCTCTCTAGTGCACTCGTTGGTTTTAGAAATCACTTAATAATGTTTTCCGCAGCTTGTAAACACAGTTGCGCATATTTTTTTCAACTGAAAACATGAAAAGTCTAAAGTGATCAGTTGACCATTTCACTGAGCACTCAACCGGTCATAAAAGTGGCCGAGCGTAACTCTGTTCGATCATACACACACGCTGCTTCACCGTAATGAGTTGGCTAAAACACAGAGGTACCATCCGCAATAGCGGCTAAAACCATTTAGCCACATACTCGTACGAGACTTGTACGTGCTGAAGAGCACAATATGCTGAAAATGTATGCAAGAGCGCCATTGGAATTGCAAAGAAACCAAAGAAGAAGAGTACAAAACCATCTATCTGAACTAAGCTTAGTTAAACTCAGCTTAACTTAACTGATTTATGTTTAATTTATGTATGTAACTGCCTACGATGAGAGAACTTAAAACAAAATTACTGCTTATTATTTTAATAATTATAAATATTAGCATTTTAATAACAAATGTGTTTACTCACATCAGCATTAATATGCTTATTAGCATTTATTTAAATAAAAATAAATTAAAATTATTTATAAAACAAATAATATATTTAATTGTTTACGATGACACTCAAATCTATCTACAGAAATAATATTACACAAAATAGTTTAACACACATTAATATTTATTTATTTATTATTTATATTATCATTATTATTATATTATTATTTATATTATTATTATTTATATTATTATTATTTATATTATTATTATTTATATTATTATTATATATATTATTATTATTTCGAGGGTTTTCGAATAGCAAAGAAAGAACGAATAAACACAAAAATTTATTTAATTTATTAAAATTTTGGCTGACCTTGCAACGCTGTGGACCAGGCTTACTTGTGGATAAACACGATTACTCATCGCTTCTAATTTGACAGGCACGAGTTCTAAGCCTGGCACTTGCAGTTCAAACAAATTATAGACGGACTATAAACTAATGAAATTCAAAATTTGATTATTCCTAAGACCACTGATAATGAGTACTTGGTACTCATTTCAATAAATTAAATAAATTTTTGTGTTTGACCTTTCTTTTTTTGCTATTCTAAAATGCTCTAAATTTTAAAAAATAGTTTCTTTGTCATTATAAGTTGCTTAACTTTTTCCGGCAACACTAATAAAAACTTTAAAAATTATTATTATTATAATATT